GAGGGCTTAGATTACATTTCATTTAACAGATATACATTTGCTTTTAGGGAATTTATTGAAGTCAGTGGAAGTCAGTTGTTCCAAAGCTATGGATATGAAAAAGTGAAGCAAAAAGTGCATTCAGTGTAGCATAAAGTTATTACTCTATTTGTGCATGAACTTGGCACTGTTAGCTTCCAGCAAGAACGTCCTGTGTCTAAATCCAACCCAGCTGGCTGGGGTCTGCCTTTGTGGATATACTGGGATAGACTCCAGCCCTTTGCAACCCTGAACAAGATAAGCAGTTTAGAAAATTGATGCATCCAGTGTGATAGAGTGTCTGGACAATGTATGCAATCAAGTCTTCTCTAGTTGTTCCAACTATTGAGTGAGTTGCATGTTTTAAATATTTGTGTGTTTACATATGTGTAGTAGGTGGGTAGGGAGGCCAGTGGAAATTAAGACCTCAGCTAACAATAGTTTCTACAGCCTGACTACTGAAAAGTAGTCTGGTCTCTTACATATTACTCTCATATTCCTCTGGTGATCTCTTAACGTGTCTGATGTGTGTACTGTCCTTTATCTACAGGAGCTAAATGTGCTACATCCCAAAGCTGGCTTCCGTCTCTGGCTGACAGCAGAAGTTCACCCCAGATTTCCTTCAATACTACTGCAGTCCAGCCTAAAGATCACTTACGAGGTACTTTCACACACACATTCACCACCACACACACACACACAGGTATAGAAAAAATATCATGGTACTCAGTGAGTTAGGTCAGTGGCTTGACCTAACTCATATCACAAAACTTTAAACACAAACATTCAGGCACACTGGGCACAAATGCTGAGCCCCGGTCTAACTGATGTGGTGTGGGCCATGTTACTAAATTATGGCATAATCACAAGAGTGTAGGGTGTTGAAGAGCTTTGTGTGTTTGAAATGTCTTGTGGATTCATGTGTTTCTTTCATCCTGTATATTAAGGCTACATATGCAGTACAACCACAAATACTATACAATTGTAAGGAGACACAGAAGCCTGCAGCTTGTGTGTTAGTGATGCGGGCTTTAGTGCTCAGTGCGTTTCTGATGGGAGTCCTGCTCAAGGGGTTAGCTGCTTCAGCAGCCAAGCATGCTGCACAAACAGCCTCTCTCTCTTTCTCNCTCTCTCTCTCTCTCTCTGCGTCTATCTTGTAAAGAGCTGAACTGCAGAGTTAGTGCTGGGGCTAATCAAGACATTTTTCAGTTGATTCATGTGAGATATATAACGTGTTGTTGTAGTAGTATAAACAGTAATAAATGTGAACTTAAAGATCCTTCACAATTAAACTACAAACCACTACCCTAGATCCTCCACCCACCCCCAAATCCGTTACCCCAAACTCGACTCTGCAGCTTAGTGTTGAAGCTGTATGTTTAGGGCCTTGTTGTCACAGTTGGCAGTGCATTAGACTTAAAGTGTGAACCAACAGCTTAAACCTGTCCCAGAGAAATATTAAATTCTACAAATGTTCTACAAATGCAATGAAAATGCAAAGAACCAGGGTGCAGTAATGCGAGAATGTAGAAAAAGAGAAGAAGGGTAATTGAATTATTAGGGTCTAAATGTATAGTTAACATATGACTTTCTTAAGGCTGAATGAAACCACAAGATGGACCTTACATGTGGTGTACATGTGGAGAGTACAGATGAGTAAAATTAGCTGACTGTTAATGTACAATGTAAAAAAAGTAAGCACTTTACAAATACATTTAATCTTCTGAAGTTGGTAACGTATGTAGTGATTTTGTCATTTTGGCAAATGTATACATACGCATTACCGGCTGGGTGTATTATCAAAACCTCCAGATGGAGGTACCAAATGTTCAGCAAAGCTTTATATACACATGTATACAGTGTGATGGCTGTTTGCATAAAAGAGCACCATAAGCTCTCTGTGTCATGGGCTGTGGTCCTAATCCTCCTGTGGTAATTGCTATTGGGCACCCAGCCTTACCCAAACCATGATTTTTCAGTTTATTAGTAGACCCTTGTTGAAATTTTCAGAGACACTGTGCTACAAATGACTTAAACAACAGGTAGAAGAGAAAGGCTTTTACGGTACATGTGGTCAAATGTTTGCTGGTCCTGTATACTAGCTTAAGCTAAAAACACTAAACAGAGTGTGAAAAGAAGCATGACACACACCCAAATTGCATTTCACAGCTTCTTTTTGGTCTTGCCAGGCACACATATTTGATAAACTGGGTTTGGGAATCACATTCTTGTGGTTTGTTTGGCGCAAAAGCTACCAAATTTAATCTCCCAGTCTCCCAATAATACAAGCTCACATATTACTGTAACATAGAAAGATAGATGACATAAATATGCATACATTTGCAATTTTGATTTTCCAGGGAAAGTGACCATTAGGCGCCGTGGCTTAGTTGGTTAAAGTGCCTGTCTAGTAAACAGGAGATCCTGGGTTGTTCGAATCCCAGCGGTGCCTTTTTGTTTTGTTTTTTTCTTCTTGTGCTTCCCAGCATGTCCCATATCATCTTACCTCATCACATTCGTCTTTCACACATGATGAATGTTTCCCTGTGTCTTGCTGTGTGTCTGTGCTTGTATGATAGTGCTATGTTTGGACCTTGCACTTTGAACTTGTTGAAGTGTTGAACATTTGAATGGTGCAAAGATTCCATCATAATAAAACTCTTTCTTTTTTTCCCTTCTATACCTTCTTTACCTCCTTGTCTGTCTGTCTGCCCTCCCTTTCTTTTCCCATCTCCAGGCTCCTCCCGGGTTGAAGAAGAATCTGCTAAGAACATATGAGTCATGGACTCCAGAGCAGATCAGTAAAGGTTGGCAATCTTTTCTTCTCTTCTCTTCACTTCTCTTCTCTTCTCTTCTCTTCTCTTCCCTTTTCTTCTCTTCTCTTCTCTTCTCTTCTCTTCTCTTCTTTTCCCTTTTCTTCTTTTCTCTTCTCTTCTCTTCCTATATCTTTTTTTGAAGTTAGTTTGTTGTTGCTTCAAATTTGCTCTTGCTCTTATTCAAATCAGTGATGCAAACCTTTTGAATAATGCTATACAAATTAGTGAACATCTCTTACAGTACGTTCTACATCTACTGAAAGCCAACGACCACATGCACCTAATGAGCTGGTCGTATGCTTAATGAATGTCTGCTTTGTTTTCATTTACAGTAAAGGAATAGTTTTGAGTTTGCGTAATCCCTGGTAATGGTATTGGTGCATGATTATTAAAGAAGCAAACAAAGAAGTCCCAGCAACATTGTAGGTTCTGGTACAGTGAAGAAACAGCAGCAAATAAGGCTACAACACAGCACTGCAAAAATTGTAAACCATTCATAGCAGAATACAGTATTTTTGATTATCCTGATCTGCCTTGACTGCTTTACACACTCTGATAATGACTATTATTCTAGGTATTTTTGTGGTGACATGCTGTTGATTGTTTGTGTGTAGGAGGAATCCTGGCCAGAGCCCAGTCACTGTTCTGTCTGGCTTGGTTCCATGCTGTCTGCCAAGAGAGACGCAACTACATACCACAGGTAAAATACACAAATACCTCGATACAGACACAAGTGGCCTTGGCTCCATAATTTCATCTCAGGACAATAAAGTCAAACTACTGTAACAGTACAATGCCATTTGAAAGTGGAAAAATATAGCACTTATAGCAGAACTGATGGCACAGAGAAACTAAACTGCTTTTCTCACATTTTTCTGCCATTGGATTGACACTTTTTTTATGAATGCTACTAGCATTGGCATATGCATTACAGTTCGGGTCTACTGTAGAAACATGGCAGTTTAACATGACACACTTGGTGGAAGAGAAACTGCACAGAGGAGACCCACCCTTACTCTGCCTCTGATTGGCTATACCATTCCAGTTGTCTGCTAAATGCCAACGCTAGCCTAGCTATCATGCTCACCAGAGTTATGAACTAGACAGGGCCAGAAAGAGAACGGCTCAGCCACAACAGTTTTAGTTGCTGGCTTGTTAGCCATCCCCACTATCACCTGCTTTGGTGCTACGGGTACTAAAATGTCAGATGCCGTGGCTCTCCTACATTTAGTGAACCCCTGGAATGGTATAGCCAACCAGAGGCAAAGTAGTAGCAGGTCTTCCCGCAAGGCATACTGGGTAGGCTCATCCAGCATATCAGGTTAGTCTCACCCAGACCCTTCCACTACGTAACAAAAATGGTGCTGACGGTGAGAAGTGTCCAGCGTTCACCACTCAACGTTTTGACCATTATGACTACACAATCCGGGTACTTGCAGTGCACTGAATTTTGCCACACTCAACAGTGTAAACGCACTTATGTACTCAAAATAGTTAGTGTAAGTATGCAATTATTCAAATTGAGACACAGCAATAGTCTATACATGAACACTCACAGAAATAATAAAATAAAAATAAAAAACTAGCCCAGAGATCAGTTTTCTTTATCCTTACTGACCAGCATAGATAGCCAACGTGTTTGCTCTTGGCCCTGTACTTCGGTAGAGTCTATGTGTGGGTTTATGTGTGTGTATTGCTATGTATGTGTGTGTATGTGTAACTATGAATATAAGCCTTTGTTGCAAACTTGCCTGCTGGTCAACAAGCACACAATGTATATAAAATAGAACACAATTTATAAAACAACTCCCATATTAATGAGGCTTTAGCGCAGTCTCTCTAACTACTTCTCAGGGACACTGCTTGTAAACCAAGGGGTTTGGTATGTGAAGTCGGGACAGTTAAAGTGTGGGAAATACAATCCTATGATCTCATTCACTGTCAAGGGACATATTATACATTTCAACTTTAAATGGATTTCATTGACCCACAGCATGATAGTAGTAATTACTATTCTATTTGTTCTGTTTTTGTATTTTTAACAGTCTAACAGCAGCTCTAAATAAATCAAAATGGTGTGTTTTTATTGTGCCAGAATCAACTCAGAATGTTTAGAGACTGAACACTGTATTTCCTCGTTTGACCTATAGCCCTGCTGATAAATCATCTTAACATAACAAGATAGAGAGTGTAAAACATTTCTAAATTTGCATCCCTGTAGAGAAAAGCAGACTATTTATTTTCTCAGTTGAACCCTAAGGCAGAGATGAATCAGCACAAAACAGATAACAAATAGAAAAACATTGAGGGAAATCATGCTGAACAATAGCCTGAATTATTAGGCTAGTGGGACCCTTATGTCCAAAAGACCGAAGGGTTTTATAAATACTCAAATCTGCTGTACAAAATAAATTGTATCTTTTTTGTCTCAAAATCTTTGTTTAATTGCTGTTGTAAGTTAAGGAAAGTGATCAAAACCAAACCGAAGATGTTGATCAATCAACCACTGACACATAATGAATCAATAAATAAACTGATTTCAGAAAGGATTTCAAAATGTCTGATGCAGCAGCCATGATGCAATCAAACAAAAATCACCTGTGAATGAGGAAATTGAGTGATTCTCTGCCATCTCATCAGCCAAATGTCTCATAGTTTTTGGTTAACTCTCAAAGCATCAGACTATTTCTGTAACTTTCTGAAATTGACAGTCCGACATTCATGCATTTTTTACGCAACTCTTTCTGTCACTTTTCATGTGTATATCTGAGTGCAACACTATGAATGCCTATCAGGAATGACTGTCCAAAAGTTTGTGCTGTTATCTCTATATTTAAACGATTATCATGGCTTGCCTCTCTCTGTGACAACAGCATTTTCACCCTGTCTTGGACAGAAAAGCCATAAACTCTTTAACTTTCCTACATGGTCAGATAACATGTTGCACAAACTAGTTTTTTTTTTTAGCATAAGCCTGCAATCATTATGCATCTTCTTATATTGGTAAGTCACTCAAGTCATTCAACTAAAGTGGGCCTTTACATAAGCGCTTCAGTTTTTTATGTCTACTGCTCATTTTACAGTTAGGGTGCACTCAAATATACCATTTTTAGTGTGGTTCAAACATTACAGAACTAGTGAGAATACAATTTGTTCTGAAAAAACAAGAAGGTTTTACAAACCTTTAACAGTTCAATCAAATAAAAAATTCTGACAAGAGATAAGATGGCCCCTTAGACCTAGCAAGAAAATTAAGAAAGGGAATAAGGAACCCTTCCTATTTTTTATTTTGTTTTTTTGCTCCTTTTTTTGCACTCTCTCGTTCATCTTTACTCGAGGGGCGTATAGGTCTTAGTCTATTACTAATTAGAGATGAAAGTTGTTACATACAGTTACAAAACATGTTGTGTAATATGCCTTTTGTAATTGTGGATATATTTGGAATGTACATTTTTCATAATGTAAAATCTATATTGAATATGTTTTAGAGCCAGGACATAATATGTAGCATAAAAATAATAGACAAACAACATAATAGGGGTCAAGAAGAGACACTAGAAGCTGATAAAAAATGTCATATTTTAGAGTGTCCAAACTAATCACATAGGAAAAGGCAGAGACATTTTAACACAAGCAAAAAGAAGACGTGGTTGCACTAGTAATCACTTGCAGTTAACCGTGTCATGTTTCCACTTGTCAACTTAAACAGTTGCTTTTACAGTTTGGTAGCATGCGGGTGTGTGGCAGAGTCTCAAGATGCGCTGGGACTCATTTGTCTCTGTGCGTATTGCCATGATACCACAGAGTGGTCTGTCCAATCGAACAATCTGACGTGTCTGCAGTTGCAGCAGGAAGGCATCTCTTTCTGTCTGCCAAACAACACACGTAATCACCACACTCCCAGTAAACCCAAACTCGAGGGAGAACTAGAAAAGAATGTGTTTTTGTAATTAAACTTCAGTTTGCACACTTCTTTCTCCTCTGTCTGTCTCTCCTGTTTCTTCGGGCTTGGTCCCACTGCTCCCCCATAACCATATACCTCGCCGTGGAGTTGTTTGGAAAAAAAAGTAACGATTGGCCTATAGGAGAATGTAAACCTGCATAACTAACATACTGGATGCCTGTGTCTTGTACATTTATTGGGGATCTCCCTCTGTTCCTCCTTTCTCTCACTTTACTTACTTTTGTTTTCCCTAATTGTCTTTTTACTGGCCTCCCTCCCTGGCTAGTGTTGCCCTGTCCCTTTCTCTCTTTTTTCCTCTCTCAATCACTGAATCTCTGGTAAGTGTTTTCGTTTGAGATGGTAATGTTGTTCCTCATCCAAGAACATGATCGCCTAATTATTGAAACAGTCACAGCTCCTTTCGTCCACTCCACCAATCACTTATTCCCTTCTCGCTTCATCTACTGTCCTCCCTCCTTTTCTCATTTAGTCTCTCACTGTTTCCATCCTTTTTACATGTCTGAGTAGAAATGATTTAAAAAGACAGGATTAGACATTGAGAGAAAAAGAAAGAAAGAGGCAAAGGGAGGAAAGAGAAAAGTGGAAAGATGAAAACAGAGACAAGTTTTCACATGCAAGGTAGTGTACAGCCTTACTAAAAGAGAACATATAAGTGTGTGTGTGTGTGTGTGTGTGTGTGTGTGAGGGGGGTTAGAGTTTCAGTTTGATGGTCATAGGATAACAAGAAGAGTGGCCAATTATAACTATGAACAGACAGCTAGGTATCACACTTTCTGAAGTGCTCACAAAATAATTGAAAGATATATACACACACAATCAATAAACACAAACACAGTCACCTTTATAAGACCCATACATTGAATCTTTTACTGAATAAGCAGACAGTGTTATGTACATAAATCAAATGCACACATGCACAAGCACAATCTGCAGTCTCACTCATACACATGTAAGCACATTTATTAAATGCAGTAGAAACATGCCCCTACGCAGTCTAAATACACACTCAAGCACAAAATTACTGAACAAACAACATACACTTAATCATTCAAAGAATGATGCCTACACCCTGCACCTCATCCACCCACAGCATCAGAGGGCAGAATACAACTGCAGACTGAAAGCAGTGAAGTGCAGCAAACACACACATGTGTGTGAGGGAGAGAGGGAGAGAGAGAGAGAGAGAGAAACTGTGTGTGCTCTTCTCTGCATGTGTTGTCAGCAGACTTTCCTCCCCAGTGCTTATGACTGTAGCATGTCTTTGTACATGCAAAAACGACACTGATCTTAATTTTGTGAATTACCCATTTATGGTAAGGGATCACAACTATTGCTGATGCACACGATGGATAGTTACACTGAAAATGCCAAAAGAGAAATTACGTTAGGTTGAAAGATTTATCGACTTACAAGACAGTCTTTACTGATTAGCATTCAGCTGTCTTTGCTTTCTGCGGGTTGTGTATTTCATCTCTAGGACATGGCAGTCATGGTAATTGTACACAATTCTATCACTCCCCTGCACACAGTTGTTAGAAGATTAAGCACAAAAGGGAATATTTGTGAGAGATGATTCTTCAATCCTCAAACACTATTTGTGATGTGAGATTTGAATGCCATTTGTTACTGTTTGGTTGACAAATTCTGATAGTAACCCACAGTATTAGGGTAAGCACTGCTATTGAAATGGATGTATTGTCATTTTTGTACTTATTCCCCTTCCTCTCTGCTTTATCCAGGGTTGGACTAAGTTCTATGAATTTTCTTTGTCCGACCTCCGTGCTGGCTTTGAGATTATCGACAGGCTTTTTGAAGGTAGGAGGGCTGGTAACAAACATTACAATGCCATGGAGAGTTCTGCTCTGCAGCACATTCTGTATGGTAATGAAAGTAGAATCTGGGGTTTTTTGATCAATTACCACTTTAATTTACACAAGACCTGGCTAACTCAACATTTGCATTTCTATGCAGTGCACATATGTGAGCATTTGCCCTTTGTTGTATCTCCCTGCCTGTTTGTATATACTGTATCTGTGTGTGCATGTTAGTGTTCTTTTGTTCAGTGTGCACTCATTACACATGTGTATAGCTTCCTTTGTGTCTGTGTGTCTTGGAATTTCTCAAGGTGGTAAACATTTCCAGTGGGAGTTTGTCCATGGCCTGTTGGAGAGCGCCATCTATGGTGGACGCATTGACAACCCCTCAGACCTCCGCATTTTACGCTCCTACCTGGAGCAGTTCTTCTCAGCACATCTCCTCTCATCGTCCCTCTCAGCTGGTCAAAGAAAGAGCAGAGGAGGAACACGCTTCTTTCCACCTCAGATCAGCCTCCCAAATTCTTGCTCCATATTGGTAGGTTGTCAGGGTGACACATTTTGATTCACAGTTGCAGGCACAAGTGCTGTGTGTAGGGCACTTAAAGATGTTCAAGAAATGAATTCTTGCTACAGAGAAACAAAGTAGCACTTCTATGTTTTTTTTCTGTACTTTGAAGCCTAAGCTCCACTGGAGTGTGGTGCACAGATATAATGGTCCCAGGTGAGCTGGAGAAGCAAAAACAAATCAAAAAGGATACTGAATTAATGCCCCAAGTCTTTTCACTGACTAGATTTACTATTCGTGGTTTGGTCAGTATTGAAGTTTCATTACTCCAGGTTGTGTTAGCTTCATTTTAAATTGGTTGACAAAGTAGCCACTACAAATAAATCCATTTAGTTGGCCTTAAGTTTGCACAATTGTTTCTGTTTTTTATATTGCTTTGCATTCTGTTGATGCAGCTTATTACGCACTAAAAATAAGTGGGCATGCCCAAAACAGTTTTTTGGATATCCAGCTAGAATAAGTTAGTATACTGCAGAGCCACTGATATATCATTTGCTATACAAAATAAGTCAATATGGAAATATAAGCTTGAATTGGCAATCTGTACATTTTAACAATCTGTAGTAAGTGCCAAATGGATCAAACTGCATCAAACTGTACAAACAACACACCTAATTAACGACAATACAGCATTAGTTTATGCTACAAGTTTTAACTTTTTTATTTTGGGGCACGTGTTCCTTGGAAATGCTAAAAAGGTTGTCTTGTGTCTTAGAGCCATGATAAAGAATAGGCACCATGCTGACACTCTCTCACTTTAGCATTTCTGTGTCTGCCTGCATGTGTCTGTGTGTCTTCCCAGGACTACCGTAGCGTAATAGAGAATCTCCCAGAGGATGACAGACCTGCATTCTTTGGTCTGCCTGCCAACATAGAAAGATCTTCCCAGAGAATCATCAGCTCCCAGGTGCACCCACACACGGACACCTGCTTGTTCACACACACACACACACACACACAAACAGCGCCACAACCTCCATTTCTACCTCACACAAGCAGAAATACAAACACAAAGGCACACACATGTATTCCCATATGCTCACACAAATATGTAGATATGCGCTCTCTCACATATACACATAGGAAAGCACATAAGCACATCCATCAGTACACACGCACATGTTCATGCTCACAGAAGCACATGCATTCTAGGGATGTCACGAGAACCGATACTTTGGTACCAAGTCGACGCCAGCGTTTTGAAAACGTGAGTTGTGTTTTTTGGGCGACTTTATGAAACGTACTGCTGAAGAAAGTCACAACAGAGACACAAACACAGAGAGAGTAACAGTGGGAGGTGGGGCACAGGTACAGGCTTTTATATGCACACATTTGACAGGGGGAAAGTCTTAGCAGTCCGTGTTCATTAACAACAAACAGCCAGTGCACCAGCAGTGTAGATGTTTGCTTTAGCTAGGTAAGAACATGCATCGACTCTGTGTCTGTATGGATTTTGTATGTGTTTGTGTGACAGTTGAAAGTCAGACTGATCTACTGTCTGCTTTGGGATGAGTTTTCACTCAAGTAGAAACATGTTTAACTTTTTACATCCATTCGTGTGTCTGCATCCTGTTCATTGTGTATATCAGGAATGTTCTGTGCTGATCAAAACCAATCTGGACATATTTTAAATGATCAGTATGTTTTTAAACCTAAATAAAATCTATATTGTTTGTTCATTTTAACCTATTGCAAACATTACCCTGTTTTTACTGCTTATCCTTAACATATAGTGAGCAGGCCAGCAAACTGCAGTCATTTCAATTAAGATATCCACCACATTGAAAGCGTACTGTCAGTACATATGCTGGTGTATTTTAGCTTCTGCAGCTTAAGACAAAGCTCCACTCAATGAGTGAGGTCAAATGAGTCGTTCACTTTTTTACTCTGGCAGACATTTTTTTCCTTGTCACTGCACCTTTTATTAATCTCAATTTTAATTCCAAACTGATTACTCCTGAAGTGAAGTGCAGTTACATAGTATGACATTGCAGTTATTACATGCTATGTATGTATGTGTGTGTGTGTGTGTGTGTGTGTGTGTTTAAGTTAATACATACATACATACATATGTGTGTGTTTTTATCTTTCAAACAAACCCACAACTTCAGTCATGTTGCAGGGAACCACCTCCACTCAGGAGACATAAAAGGTTTATTTTAGGGTCAGGACTTAAATTTAAGGTTAAAGCATTACGCCAGGCAGCCATCCGTTTCCATTTATTTCTTTATGAAATAAAATCACCTTGCAGAGACATGAAACTAGGTTTAGATGGGTAATCCATCACAATGAATATAATGTCTGCTTTTATCAGTGTCAAGGTTATGTTGTCATTGCGTTTGTAAGTGTAAGCTGATTTAAAAAAGTCTACACTGCAGCAATGTAACTTCAACAACAGTGCAGTATTCAATAGTCTGCAAACAGGCAAAAGATTATTTATTTAGAGTACATTACTGGTCAAAGGGTTGAGGTTAGACATATAGGTATTAAGGGGAGGGCAGAGTTTGTTAACCTTAAATTTGACATTTTAAATTTTAACAGATCACCAAAACTTTCTACGGCGAATATTTTACTGAAGAAAATTATTTAAAATTCCGAACATGCCTGTTAACCATGGAAGTACACATCTCTAAATAGGATGCTGGGACACAAATCTGTGGTCATGCACAAAAAGGTTGAGTGACCCCAGATTAGAGGATAGAGAAAGTTAAGCAAAGGAGGATCAACACAAAGACAATGAGACATGTCAGTTTTTTGATGTGTGTGTGTGTGTATATATGTGTAGTGGTTGATGGTCACCGCAGATTCTGATGTAACTGAACGCAACACAGTCTCACGCAAACATGTGTGTGTGTTGAGAGAGAACGATTGCACCAAAAAGGAAAGGATGGAAGATACAGTCATAAAAGATGGAAGAGAAACAGGATGTAGAGTGAAAGGTGCATGGCTGCACTGCTCTCTTTTTGTGACCAATTCTTTATTTATTTCTTGCATGATTCACACAGAACAAAACATATAAAATTAATTCCCACTCATCCTTGTTTTTAAGAGCATAATCACTGCTTTCATAAAAGAACTGTATATACCTGTTCATTGAAACAGAGCACAAATAAAAGGGAGTGATAGGATATTTTTGTGTTTCTATGTGTCTTCCTGTGTGCAATTATCCTTAGCAAACACAGTTAAACCACACTGAACTATTATAGCTTGTGTGCAGTCCCCATGTGGGTGTTAATGCATTTAAGTCCATTCATACTGTCAGTGTGGTCTGCTGATCAGTGGAACCACCAACCTAGTTTAATTCACAGAACTCCCACAAGGCCACTTGCGTGTGTGTTACTGTCTTTCCACCTACTTCCCCTCCTTGTGATTGTCTCCCCTCCTGCTGTCATTTGTCACTGTCGTGTTCATGC